TTCCATGCTTGAAGGTCTATTTTGTTGTTATAAGAGTTGGTGTGCAAGAAGCGTCAGCTTCATCTAAGTTGGTAGTGGCTTATTTCTATTGCAATCATCATACAAATATGACGTGTGATATCAAAGATTGACCATAATCAAAAAGGGCTTTAAGCATTTCATTGCAGCAGAAGCATAAATCTGTCTTTATACACTTTCTGCCCGCTTCCATTTCGAAGAAATACTTTTGGTGAAGAGATTCAAAGGTCGATCCCACCAGAATACGATGGTGGATTCCTCCTGACCAGCTATCGATTAGTCTTAGTAGAACATTCCTATTGGCGTGGTTTACTTCGATTACGACGAAAATATTCTAAGCATTTGTATATGGCGTGTATGAAGTGTACAGATAGTCTCGATAACCTACTTATAAACGAAATGTGCACCCTCTGTCCGTCATATGATAAACGACTTGAGAGCAGGCCATTATTCTTACAAAAAAATTCTTCCTCAAACACGTTAACTCGACATGGAAGTGAGATCAACAATTATAAATCACCGACAGAAAGGCCTTTATTTTGTATTAAAGGGCATAAAGTATAAATTCGAAGGTCAATCTAAACAGAAGAGGGCAGCTGATTCCTGTTAGGCTGCAGCCGTTTAGCTCTCCTTTTTTAGGGGTGTGTGCGCATGTGTGTATTTGTGTGTGAAGGTATAACCATCACAAATCGGAAGGGTTGAGTCGTCTTCTTTTGGATGGCGGTGCTACATCCTTTCTCTCCTTCAATCTATCTATCAAGCATAAATATTTCTTGGTTAACTTCCAACCACCATTTCTCACATTCAATAGATTATCTAATCCATTAATTTCAATAACCTCTCTTATCTTCCTTTTAGCACACTCGAGCAAAAGTAGCAGGACCAATACCAACGATAATTAGCCAAACCATTCTATATCTATCTTTGCTTATTATGTTTATTTTGTTTAATTGAGTCTATATAAGAGGGGAGATAGAGCCGGATTACCTTCTTGACTTAATGTTAACGTGAGCCTTTTAGAATAATGAGTTTCAGCTCTGATGTCGTCCATCATATGATGGACGAAAGCTCAGCTTGTTTTAGCCCGAAACGAGGGAAGCTAGTTCGTCAGCCTGAACCTTGTATTAAAGTCAAACGGCTACGGCCGTAAACAAATTAGCCGTCCTCTTTTGTTTAGATCGACCTTCGAACCTCTACTTTATGCACATTCACACAAACTAAAAGTCTTTCCGCCAAAGTTGTTCCAGGAGATTCAAATATAAATCTGGAGATTCCTCGAAATCCACATTTTATTCAAATATGCTTTCAATCCTCACGCCACCTCAGATAACCTCGTCTAATTTGGGCTCGAAATTATGCACTATTTAAAGCTTCGATGGGTACTTATTTATAAAATAATAATGTATTTTAATGTGATTTGCATTGCTCTTTTTACTGACTTAATCTGTTAATTAATCAATTGCTCTCGGCATAATACGAGTCTGTGCACCATTTACTGTTGTCACTGATGTATGGTATAATGTCCTCTTTATAACATTCTTCAAGGGGGTCTTGAGAAGCAATAACGCAATAAATTGTTTTACAGGATTTCGTGAACTAGCCTCCGCTAATCAACCCTCACTTCTGACGAATCAAGAAGTCGGTAGCAAGAGTCATGTCCCCGTTAGTATCAACGACTACCAGACCATCTAAACTTGGACCTGCTAAAGTCGAGAAGGCTCCGACACATATTTCATTCGGCAGTCTACTTCCAAACGGCAACCGGCAGTCGGGCTTAGCACACCGCTTATTCGCAGCTGCTATGCCAGCCGCTTTGACAACGGCCGAAAATCTGTCTCAGTCTGTTCCGGCGCAAGACCGAGTCCTCTCGAAATATGCCGGGAAACTGGCATCGGACTACGCTTGAAATGGTTATGACCAATAAAGAAGTGGCGTCTAAACCTTCTTTATGGAATTGGGCATCCGAATGTTAATGAAACCGTGCAGGTTGGTCTGTGCGAATAATTTCCTATTTTCTTAAGCTTTACTCATACACGCCTCCATCATGGCTTTCTCATCCAATTAAGTCATGACAACAA